AGGAAGGAAGGAAGGAAGGAAGGAAGGAGAATGGAGGGAGGAAGAGCAAGGAAGGAAATGGGAGGGGAGGATGTGGGAGGAGGGGAGGCAGGAAGGGAGGGAGGATGAACAATGGAGGGAGGAAGAGGGAGTGGGGAGGAAGGAAGGAAGGAAGGAAAGATTAGAAGGAGAAAGGGAAGGGGAAAAGGAGGAGAGTGGTGGCACTTGGGGAGGAATCCACCCTTTCCATTTGGGAAACGTAGTGTGGCCTCTGCAGGTGCCCTCCTTCCCCGCCTCCCTCCCCCACTATCTCAACGCTCTGCTTATGGCTCCTAGGAAGGCCGAATCTTCCTCATCGACTGCCAGATCCTGGAGGGCATCCCGGCCACCACACTCAACGGGTCCCCCCAGTACGTCTCGGCTCCTCTCTGCCTCCTCCACCTCAACCCCTGGGGGGAGATGATGCCCGTTGCAATTCAGGTAAAGGTCTCCACTTTTCCACCTGAGGCTCCTGGGTTCCAGGGAAGAACGTCTATAATGTCGGCTTTTTTTGCCAGTTGCCGTGTTGTTGTTGTTTTTTTCTGGCAAAAAAACATCCTTGGGGAAGCTAGATTCACTTAACGGCCATAAGGTTCACTTCACGATCACCAAGAACTGTGGCTAGAATGTGGCATTTGGTCGGATGATTCTACCCACTGTCAGTAGTTTGATCCCGACTGGCTCAAGGTTGGTTCAGCCTTCCGTCCATCCTTCCGAGGTCGGTAAAATGAGGACCCAAATTGTTGGGAGCAAGAGGCTGACTCTGTGAACCGCTTAGAGAGGGCTTGTACAGCACCATGAAGCGGTGTATAAGTGCTATTCCTATTGCTATCTTAAAATTGGTGGGAAAATTTGAGAGAGAGAGAGAGAGAGAGAGAGAGAGAGAGGGATAGATAGATAGATAGATAGATAGATAGATAGATAGATAGATAGATTAGAGAGAGAGAGAGACAGACAGATATAGCTGGATAGCTAGATTAGATAGACAGACAGACAGATAGACAGACAGATTGGTAGATGATAGAGATGATAGTTAGATAGACAGAAAGACAGATAGATATAACTAAGTAGCTAGATAGCTAGAGATAGATTAGAGACAGACAGACAGACAGATATAGCTAGACAGCTAGATTAGATAGATAGACAGATGATAGAGATAGACAGACAGAAAGACAGAGATAGATAGATAGATAGATAGATAGGAGAGAGAGAGACAGACAGATATAGCTGGATAGCTAGATTAGATAGCTAGACAGACAGACAGACAGACAGACAGACAGACAGACAGACAGACAGATAGATGATAGAGATGATAGATAGACAGACAGAAAGACAGATAGATATAACTAAATAGCTGGATAGCTAGATAGATTAGAGACAGACAGACAGACAGACAGATAGATATAGCTAGATAGCTAGATTAGATAGATAGACAGATGATAGATAGAGATAGACAGACAGACAGACAGACAGATAGGCAGACAAATAATTGAGAAGGGGGGGGTGCGTTTCTTTGAACAAACAGGAATCTCACGAGCTTCTTCTTCTTCCAGTTGACTCAGCAGCCTGGACCAAGGAGCCCCATTTTCCTCCCCACGGATTCGGAGTGGGAATGGGCGCTGGCCAAGTTTTGGGTTCGCAACAGCACACTCTACATCCATGAGCTCCTGGCCCACCTGCTTCATACTCACCTGCTGGTGGAGGTCTTCCTGCTGGCCACCCTCCGGCAGCTTCCCAAGTGCCACCCAGTCCACAAGGTGTGTCCGTGTGGGGAGGGGAGGTCAGAGAGACCTCCAGCCACAAGGTGGGGGGTGGGGGTTTCAATCCCATTGAATGTTCAGAGACGACACGAAGATCTTGGCCACTGGAGGGTTCAAATGTCCACCGTGTCAATGAAGGCCAGAAGCACATTCCACGCTTATCTTGTGGAGATTATAGTCTAGGCTACCGGATCATCTGCCCACCCAAAGATCCTTCTTCTGGGTTCCTACGATTGTCCTAATTAAATCGTGAGCCTCCAGCCGAGCTTCAAAGGAATCCAAAAGATTTATTAGGAGCAATATGTCTGGCACTAACTGGTAGGAAGCCAACTCTGAGACACGCAATTTACTATCACCTGTGACCCTGTTTCCACCCACCCACCCCCTGGGTGCGTCATAAATCAGATTCTCCAATCAAAACACTGTTCACGGGCTGAGTGTCATCAATCACACTTTGCAATGAAGGATTTTCAAGGGAAGAAGATCCGGTAGCCTAGGCTACAATCTCCACAAGGTAAATGTGGAATGTGATTCTGGCCTTCATCTGCCGCACTGTTCCCTCAGGCCTTTCCCTCTACCCACCTGGATGTGTCATAAATCAGATTCTCCAATAAAACACATTCGCTGGCTGGGTGTCATCAATCACACTCTCCAATTAAGGATTTTCGCAGACGGAAGATCCGGTAGCCTAGACCAGTGATCCCCAACCTTTTTTATGCCGCGGCCCGGTACCGGCATCAGCTGGGCGCCGCGGCCCGGTACCAGCATCAGGTGGGTGCCGCCATCTTTTTTTGATGAAAAAGTGCTTCCGGTGAGCTTTCTACCCGGAAAAGCTCACCGGCAGCACTTTTTCGTCAAAAAAAGATGGCGGCGCCCAGCAACCAGCGGCCCGGTAGGAGTTGTTCCGCGGACCGGTACCGGTCCACGGACTGGTGGTTGGGGACCCCTGGCCTAGACTACAATCTCCACAAGATAAGCATAGAATGTGATTCTGGCCTTCATCTGCTCCCTCAGGCCTCCCCCACCCACGCCTCTCCTTCTTACGGCAACTCGGAAACAGGCATAGGAATGATTTACGAGTTGACACACCTGACTTTGTGAGTCACGGTTGTGACTTGTCACCTGCTGCAAACATCTCAAGAGATTCATCCACAAGTCTCTAGAAGTTGAGAAGTTCTCAGGAGGGGTGCAGGATAGAGGTCCTCCACTCTTATCTTCTCCCAACTGGCCTCAGGATGTCGTAGAGAGCGAGAAGGAGAATATCTCCCAGGGACTCCATAACTCGCTTCACCTCTTCTCTGACCTGCCTTGTTGTTTCCTTGTCCACAGCTCTTAATCCCACACTTTCGCTACACACTGCACATCAACATCCTTGGCCGGACGCACCTCCTGGCCCCCAACGGGATGCTGGACAAGGTAAATGGATGGGTTCTCCTCACCCTTGATCATCCTTGGAGGAGATAGTCCACCAAGTGGACCTGCATCAGGCCTGGAAAAGGAAAGGCAGGGGTTCAAGGGATGTTATGTGGTGGAGGGGAGAAGAGCATTTTTGGGGGGCTAGACTGCATAGACAGGCATAGGAGGAAGGAGTGTCTGGTGAGTGTGCGTAGGTCCAAAAATGGAAGATAGAAGGCACTACTAGATGGGCTGAGGCCTACTCCTTTTTTACATGTGTCAGATATCCTCTTATGAGGGTGTACGGCAAACGTGATCTATCTTTCTTTTTCTTTCTTCCTTCCTTCCTTCCTTTTCTTTTTTATCTATTTTCTTTTTTCTTTTTCTCCATTAATGTCCCCTTCATCTTCCTTCCTCTGCTTTTCTTTCTTTCTTTCTTTCTTCCTTCGTTTCTTCTTTTTTCTTCCTTCCTTCTTTCCTTCCCTACTTCCTTTTC